GCCATCATCTCTATTGAAATTGTTTGGACATTTTTCAATTTCGATTGCCTCTTTGTACATTCTTTTCCCGAAATTGGGCTCTTTGTCAAGTATTTTTACTTTGTCAAACTGGATGGTATGTCCCGAATTAGCTGCATGATCTGCTGCTGCAGATTTGTCTATTCTTTTATAGCCCACAATATCTCTTTCGTGTTCTTTCATCCGTATTTCGATAGCGCTTCCCGTTTGGCCAATGTATGACTTGCCACATACGCACGGTAATTCATATACACCAGGTGTATGCATTTTCAAAAAAAAAACTAAAATCTTAAAAAAATGCATCAAATCATTAAAACAATTGCATGTATATCTTTGCTGAATGATACTATTAATTTTTGTGCTCAAGTACCACTTTTGACTTTAAGTTTACAAAAATTCAATTTTTTTTTTTTTTACTTAAGTTTTTTTTGGCCGAGTAAAATTGAAAACTGATATCAAATTCATAATGACCGACCCCAAAACATATAATTTGACCACTTTTGAAGCCTTTTACATAAAAATCAAGAAAAATGTTTTAGCTTCGATGCAAAGCGCCGAAGGTGTTGGTTTTACTCTGATGTGGGTTTTTTTTTATCTGTACACACTGTAACTTTTTTAATACTGGACCAATTACATTTTTAACCTTCCTTACTTGTCTGATCGTAGGCACGCAGCTGACTTATCATTCCTTAAGTGTTTTCTGTCCGTTAAAATTGATTCCCCCACCCTCTTTTCACAAAATAACTTTAAAATCTCTGTACGTCCCACACGCCCTTCTTTCTGTTCCTTATCCAGCATGCTTCTACAAATTACTTTCTAAACTTCTCTAAACACCGACGCCTTCACTTCTTCTCTATGATTTATCCCTGTTTTGTGTAAATAAGTAAAATGTTTCCAAATTTAAATAATATGAGTATTATAGTTCTAGTTATTGTTGGTTGTTATTTGCATGGGTTCTCTTATAAGAAAATTATTCATCAATGATTTTCAGACATGAGGCTCTGTATAATAATATTTTAACATTTTGATTTATTTGTATCTAATAATATCAGGAATATTTTAAATATTGGACAATTATTTTGAACAAAGCCTACAAAAATTGTTTTTTGCTAGCGAAATATTATATCTGGCTCTGCTGTTTTTTAGAATCATGAACGTTGTGTTCATTTACAAATAACATTGCCTTTTGCATTTACATCTTGTGTACTGAAACATAAGCCATATACCATAAATAATTATTCAAAATAAGCAAAATATATTTTTGCTTCGAAGCGGAGCAGCAATGCTATTGGTCTTACAGTGCTGTGGGCTTTTTTTGTGTCTGTGTACACTGTAACATTTTTGATACTAAGCCAATACCTTCGAGTAGGAGCTATATAAATCATGTTTGTATACTTCTGAAACACAATGTTAACAGAACAGAACTGGTGTTATGTACTAACACTCGACATACAATACTCATTTAGTCAATACAACGTTTATGTTTGCGTATTTCTGAAATACAACGTTAACAGATATTATTTGAATGGCTGGCTCAAGTAAAACAAACATGCAAACTGTAATAGAACACACATAGTACATAAGTCTAACTAATGTTCATTGCTGTTCCTCATTCTACATTGTCTACTTGTTTGTTAGTGTTATAGATATTTCTTAGTGGATACGCAAGAAAATGATGTGGAAAATTATATTTGTGTTGCCATGTTTTACCGTTTTAGTGAACGCTGTTGGAAATCATGAAGAGGGTTCTACATCAGTAAATATAATCGATCTTTTATTTCTTTTTTTTTTAGTAGATAGAAAGTATATTTTATGTTTTTCATAAATTCCCAAAAATGTTTTGCATTCTTAGAATAAAACAGTAATTTTATCATACTATACATTTTTTCTAAACAATTTTTAAGTGTAAGAACATTGCGGGTGTAAATCTACTTCATGGGATAACATTTTTTTTTAAATCGATAGTACTTTTCATACTTATTTCAGTGCTGCAAAAATTTATAATCGCGAATGATGTCGTCCCGCATTTCCCTGCCCATCGTGGAAGATTACTTTTCCTACCTTATTGAGTAGCTATACTCGTAACAATATTTATAGTCTTCCAAAATAATAACTCCACATAGCTTTTAGAATCAACAACGAGGTTATATTGGGATTTCTTTGCGGGTAACGTGAGATTATAAAACTTCTTATAGACTAAATGCAAGGGATAATTTTGCAGAATAATTTTCTGAACTTTGTGACTGATCGGTAAACCAGTTTTTAATTAATTTTATAGTCGTTCTAGTAAGTAGTAAAGTTTAAGGCGGCCAGTGGATTGCGGTAAAGTAGGTAATTCGTGCAGATAAGAACTGTATGCCTACATCGTAGGAAAAGTCTTAAGAGAAGTTTCAGGGCTAAAGGTCTAAAAATAGACTGAAGATAATTTTAAAATGGGGCTGTAACATATTATGTAATTTTATCAGAAATTCATATTCACGCTATCCGTTTATTAAGAACAAACAATAACAGTGGAAAATTATACTTTAATTGAAATTATTCTCATAGTTCCTACAATCATAAGAAATATATCACAATAGATTGTAAAAATTCATATTGACCTCTGAATATAATTCGTACTTACGTGCACCAACCCAACTCTAATGAAGAAGTACTTATCAAGTTATTTGCGTTAAGAGAACATGCAGACTGTAAAATAATTTTTATCCGTCCACCCTTAGTCAGTATTTGTTTTCAAATTAATTACCGTTTAATTTTTTTTTAGACCGGAGGCCCGACACCATTTCCAAATATTGAAGATTGGGCGGATTCATTAGAAGAAATAAAAATTTCAGATTGGTCTAATTTGTCAACTGGACCAAGCCCAAATCAAAAAGTAATTTTTGTATAAAATACATTATTTAAAAACACGTTTAACCGTTTTTATTTTTAAAGGATTTGGCAAGCGACGCATTGAAAAATAGTGGATGTCCAACTGATATTGTGGAAGTTCTTCTTTTAAACAGTTATATATTTAATTGGCCTGATCATTTTAAAGAAAGAAATCCAAATGGATATAAAACGACTTTTCATATAAAATACTTGGCTTGTAGACGTATTCCAGGAGCACCAGTAGTATACGTGTCTCATATTAGTAACATAGGGGTGCCTGAGCCAGGACTTTTATTCGTTTTCGATAAACTTGAATGAATCGTAGATTCTGATTAAAATCGGGCTGGCAGGATTTAATTTCACCATTCAAAAAACCATAAATTAAAAAAAAATTATACTCATAATGAAAACAAAATCTAAATGTGTTAAAGAATAGTAAAATTTTAGTTAAATTATAAATGATTTTGTAAACCTAATTTGTTTACACACCTATCACATAAAACATACTACGCTTATCTAAAAATTGTATTTGTTATTACTAACGGAATTAAATAAAATGAATGTACTATATTGATCTAGACATTGATTTAATAAAGCTATACAATTTCTTTCTCCATTTTATTTTGTTTTATTTTATTTTATACTCTTCAGTATTTAGAATGTTCTAAAAAACTTGTTTTTTATTGATTAACTTATTGACATGTGTTAGAAGTCTGAGATAAGTAATGACAGATTTTTTTTGACAAATACAAATAATAAAAAAAATATAGGTAATATATTCATAGAAATTGTATTTAAATGAATGAATAAATACATATTTATATCATTTATATTGTTTTTGACATTTTTCACCATCATTATTATAATATATTACTAATATACTCAGTCAACAAAACTTATGAAACAATTTCTGAACTATAACAATATAAATATTATACATAAGTACTACAATACATTTTAACAAGCTGATTGACTTTTTAACAAGCCGATTTTGGGTGATTAACTTTACAATCGTTTTAACAATGTGTTAAGGCTAACAAATCTCGATGAAACGCAATTTTCACTAACTAGTTGTTAAATATAATTGACTGGGCTGCCAAATTATGTAAATAGTGTAAATACAATACCCCATTCAAATTTCAATAGTTTTTTAGTAGTCACTAGTAGCCGGCAGGCGGCCGGATGGGTCACAGATTTCGAGTGAGTTGTGGAGATCAGTGTCTAGCCGTATCGATTTACCTATTAAAAAGCAATGGTTTAAAAAAGGAAAAAATGGCGAGATCGGTGCCCATTGATTAGAAGGGGTTGCTCAGATACCGGTTATGGTGTTAAACCATGACAACGTGTCTTAAGTACTTATTGGTATCAATAAGTGTAGTGTTATTCTAGTATATATTTTTTGGAAAAGAAACGTATCTGCTGAGGAAGCTTCATCTGTACTCGTGTGTCCGTTCAACTCCTTCATTACATGGACTAACTCCAGAGAACGCTTAGGTAGAGGTGTAATACATACTATATACAATACATTTACTTATTTAAAAAAACTGTTTCCTTTTTGTTGCACACTTGAGAGTAAAGTTATTTAGAGGTACGACCGCCTGTTAAGCTCCTCGGGCAACATGGCAATTATAAAAATGGGATATTTAAGTGCAGATAACGCTTAACCATCCGTCCCGTCTTTGGGTCTACTAATTTAACCCTACTGACTGTCGTTTCGGCCTAGTCTAGCTAACTATTTTAACAATGAAACAGTATAGCACTTGCATGGCAATAGATAACTGATATTCTACTACACATATTTTAAATACATATTAAAACCCAGAGATTTATAACCTTAATATTTGGTGGCATGGAAGTTAAATATATATGTGTCACAAATAAGTTTTCTGTAATATTAAAAAAAAAAAACATTTACACACCACGCTGAGAACTTGGTATGTAAGTTAGTATGGCTTTTTATGCAACAAATATTTGCAATTTTGTGCAAATAATGGCAAAAAAAATTCAAAGATGTGTACTCGTATAATATTCTTTGCTTGTTTCAATTCGATATAAAACAGGCATTCAAAGACGGTAAAATTCATTCGATTTATCTCGCAGTTATACTTCAGATAATACTTTATAGATTAACCACAATGTTTTTAAAGTTCTCTGTTTCGTTTCTGTTTTTTATCCTAGCCATTAGCTGTATGCATACAGGCCCACTTGAAGGGAAAAATGATCCTGAAGCATCAGGTTCAGCTGTACCTGAAGAGAAAATTAATGTCACACCGGAGGATTTAGAGGTAATGTATAGTATTTTTTTAAAACTATTAGGTTTTTCAATATTTTTCAGAATCATTTATAAAAAAAAATCCTCAATTCAATGAAAAAAATTGAATGAAGTTCAATGAAAACAATTTCCCAAGTAGAAATTCTCTAGGAATCTATTATTATTTTAGGTAAAAGACATACAAATAAAATTCTAGTCTTAAATACTTGTAATCAAAATAATTGTCTAATATTGTTTGTTAAAAAAATGGTTTTATTATATTAAATTAAAACTAGAGTCGTAACTTAATCATTCGAGTAAAATGAAATAAATATAATAAATGTTTAACCCAAAATATGTATACACTTTACTACTTTGTAAATTACTAAGTATTACAAGTCCTATCACTCTATGATTTAATGCACTAATTATTAGTATCCGCAAATCCGAAAATTTATAGTAAAAGCAAATTTATTTAACTTAAAGTATACGTTTGTGCTGTATAAAAAAATGAAATAATTCTAGATTTATTTTAAAATATATTTTTTATTTGGTTTTAAAACATAAAAACATATAATGATGTAATTTTTTAACAGCTAAAGTATATTTTAATTATTTTATAGCAATTTTATTTGATATATTTCATCTAAAATAAATAAGTCTTTAATGATTTAATAATATTTTTTATTTGCTTTAAAATGTTACACACGTTGTATTGCTTTTCTGCTTACTTTGTTATAATCTTATTTTTATTATTATTATAACATAATATTACAAAGGCATACAGTAAAATAATGTTAATAACGCTAATACTTGGAATAACAGCTACTATAATTTAAATATTTTCTAAATTATATATAAAAAACACAACTTTTTTTTTAATCTTATTAAAGCGAATAAATGGATGAAAATTAAAACTTCAAAGAATAGCATTTTTTTAAAAATGTGTTGTCAACAAATTTATGTAATTTAAAACATATGTTGCCATTTGAAAAAGTGATGTCCTGCCCTTTTTTTGGGGTATAAGGGTTGGAGATACAAATTTCCACAGTATTGAAAAAATTAGGTCATTGTGTACCTTAAAAAATTAGAATTTTTTTTTTTTTTTTTGTTCACATTTTTTTGAGAAAATTAGCGCCTTAACCAAAATGAATTACTCTGTATATATATATATATATATATTTTTTTTTTTTATTGATTCTTAATCATAGGTATTTATTTAGGTCTAATCGTATTTAAATTTTATAATCAGATTTTTTATGGAATTAAACTTCGTGTTTATTAACAATTTTCAGCTTATAGAAGAGGCGTTCGAGGGTTGTAGAAAATTGACGTTAATAGAATACGACGTCGACATTATTGAAGAAAGAGTTGGACTTGACGATTATTACCTATACATGGGTGACAGCAATGACCAATGGGAATTTGTAAAATCATATTTCGAAACCTATAAGGAATGGCCCTCTTATTGTAAACATTTTTTACACACGTTATATGTCGATTAATATTATTTTTTTTCTTCGATGCGAAACTGTAAAGTAGTATTTGGTTTTTAAGAAATTATTTTCGTTCAAAATTACCATATAGTATTCAATATCCTATTAAATGTGGTGAGACCCAAAAGTATGCTCAATTAAAGTAAAATTAAAAACAAAATGACCGCCTCTTCGTCCGGACACAAATTTAGACAAATAAAAACACACTACTACAAAAACAATATAATTTCAGCTGCACATCGAAGCTAAAATAAATTATGTAATTGACAACTGCAACATATCATGCCTCTATGATAACATATATTATTTATAATTAAATTTAATGTTTTTTTGTTTTAGTTTCCATGACATCAGACATATTTCGTGATCTTTTTATAATACATTGTGAAAAATCTGGATTGTCCGTTTCAAAAATTGCTGAACAAAGAAAAGCCAAATTGGATTCAAAGATTACAAAGAAAGGATATCTTGATTGGAAACATAAATTGAACGAATACCTCCAAGTTTATGTAAAACGTTGGGAACGTTCGTGCAATCTTTAACAATCTGATTCAGAAACAAAAGAAGCAGACGAACGTCCTAAAAAATGACATTCTGAAGAATAAATTAATATGTCTAATAATGTTATAATTTTTTTTTAAATCTCTTAAATTGTTATTTAAAAAACGTTTCAAAATATAATATGTCATAACGACTTTAATAATTCCAAATTCTCTGTTTCTTTTCAAATAAACACTTATTACTTACTAATTGTGTAGCATTATTTTTATTTCTAAGACCAAAATTTTTAAAATGGTCGACTTTGTACGGAGTTGCAGCAGCTATAGCGTTATTAAGTAGAACATCTACATCATGATCAATATAACAGCTCATTATATCAAAAAATAAATAAAAACACATTGTTGTAAATAAAACCTATCTCAAGCTCATCATCATCGTTTGAGTTGCAACATTTCATCCGGAACGACAAACTAGAAAGTGTGTTAATAAAAAGTTGGTAAAAAAGGTAAAGTGTCTAAACGACACTCGGTTAGCAATATTTTTTTTTTGCGTCTATTTACATTAATTCGTAAAACAGTTGTTTAAAAAAAAAATGAGTTACTCCATGCCCCGACCCTATTGTGCTGGCATTTTACACTAGATATTATTGCAAATAGAAAAAGTCAAACCGAACTACTCCTAGTTGACTTTTGTTCTCGCTTAGTTTTGGACAAATATTTTGCAAGCTAAGTACTTTATTTTAATTGCCTCATTGTTGTGTTATATATAAAAAAGGAACTGTCAATTGGTAATTGCTATATACCACACGGTTACTCAAGTGTTCTGGAGAACCATTTTATCTGATAATTATAGAGCTATTATTTCAATTTTAAAAGTAGGATGCCAAGTTGCATTAAAAGTTAATCGTTTTAATGGTTTATTAAATATTAATTGATCAATCGCAGGCAACTAAATTGTGTTTAAATGCCACTGAATATAATATGTTCATATAATAAATTGGTTCATTAAATCTTTACTGAACGTTTATGCAAGTCGCAGCCCGCCAAAAATGTTTCATATTATCAATGATGCATTTCTAAAAAAACAATTGAAGCAAAAGTCTTACTTACTTTCAAATGAAGTGTATAAAATACACCAACATTGATAAGGCTTTTAAGAAATCAAAAAGAAATACTATTACAAATAATTTGAAACGAACATCATAAATGCTACGGTCTTTTAAACACTCATGTTTTATTAGATTAAAGATTTTTATCTTAACGGGTCAACAAAATTGACAGATGTAAAACAACGGAAACTGCTTCACACCGAAACTTCTTTACACTTAAACATAATAGATATCAAACACCGTACACGGTACAACGGAAAAGGCGAATATATTATAATATGCGTTAATATTTTTTCGACAAATTAATAGAAAATAAACATTTTAATTAATATAACGTGTCAACTGTCGAACGCGAACAAACGATAGGCGGTAATTGATAAATGCCGACAGCGGAAAATCTTGTTTAGATCATTTTCTTTTCCATGAGTGAGATAGTGTATTATATTTTCTTTTCCAGGTTCGAATAAAGGGCCCATGTCATTTTATATATTAGATATGGCTGTGATAGATATTAGATGTGGTATTCGTAAAAATGCGTAACGCCATTCGCTTGGCCTCGACGCCTTTAAGTACAACTTATATGGTTTTGGAAAACAGTGGCTTTGTGTGTACGTTAACTATGTAAAGAAGACCATCGTACGCTATATTTGTATTATTTGCAAACCATATTATACGGAACGCAAAGAAAATTGGAATCAAAACTACTTTGTTTTTTATACACATTAAATTGTTAAAAATTAACGTTTATACATTTTGTTGAATGTCGGCCGACTTTTAAAGTAACACAAAAATTAATAATTTGTGGAACATACGACTAATGACTATTAAACGCTATAAAATTAAAATCAGAAATTGAGTGCAAGGTATTCGGTTAAAGAGAATAACACTGCTAGGTGTTTTTAGCCGGGTAACATTTGGCATCATTCGAAACACTTGAGTATACATGAGTATTTTCCGCGATTTCATACGTTGGTTTGCCTAAGCACAAATGCCACTCTGTTTTTAAATATTTTTACCGAAATTTAGGTACAAGTTGGAAAATTATATGAAAAAAAACTAGCTGCGGGAGGGTGACAGGGAGCAAAGTATATTTAGGGCGGTCACAGATTCCAAGGGTGGCCTAGCTATGCCAATTATACAATTGAATACATAAGCAGAAATTAGCAAAATTAGCCATATTATGTTTATGATATTTTCCATGTTCAAAGAAAACCTGATATTTTCTATTGGTTCTTTTTTTATAGATTTCAATCGTTATAATCATACTTCAATTATTACATCAGCCAACTTTTAATATACATAAGCGGTGAAATAGTACGAACAAATCAAAAAGATCCGACTGGAATTTGTAACAATTACAGTGATATTATTTTTCTATACGAAACACCAGTAATACCATAATGGCTATATAAATATTACTAACCGTGTGCTGGTTATCGTTTTTTATAATACACTAGCCCGTTTCGTACAACAAAAATTTAGAGCACAAAATAAAACCTTACACGTTATGATTTAGTAACCCAAATTTAGGCCTCTGGTTGAGGAAATCTATACACGTTCGAAAATAATCGTTCTACTCGTTAAAATTTTTCCAAAAAAAGACAGTTCAGTTAGGTCGAGGTATAGTGGGGACGGTGAGGTCACGGTCTTCAGGAATTATTATAACTGATGACAAGGGAAAAGTGATAAAATCATTTTTAAATAAACCCTTCGATGCGAATCTGTGGATAGTACGTTCGAACCGGTACAGTCAAAACTTAGCACAGTAAGAAAATAGTATATGTAAGTAAGTGAGTAAGTAAAAGAGGATTAGTGTTCACAGATAAAAATACAAATTTCGATAAAAGCAATGTACCTAAAGACAGTTTGTTTGCCTAAAAATGATTTTAGGCTATAAACAGAAAAATATTAATCATCGTATGATAAATTAATACAGTTAATATGTGTTAAGTTACTATGATAAATTACTGGATCATTTAGGGGTATCTAAGATTTAGTATAAACGGTACAAAAAATTATTTGCACATAAATCGACTATTTCTTGGCCATTACTAGCATTAATGCCATTAAAAAACAAGTTTTGGGGCAAAGAGCTAATAGAGGTTTATGATTTAATAAAACTACAGACAAATTTACTGATAACGTTAATTGAGTTTGAACATTTTTTAAATATTTATCATAGTTTAATTTACTTAGATTTTCACACTGTTTGCGAAGATTAGAAAAAAATAGTATACACTTGAAAAAGACGAGCTCTTTTGAAAATAAGTGTGCTATTTTTTTTAACGAATAAGATTTTTTAATTCTGTACTAACCCAAATTTTATATTTAGAGGAAAAAAAAGTGAATTTAAACAATGAAACAGTATAGCACTAGTTACTAATGCATGGCAATAGATAACTGATATTCTACTAGACATTTTAAAAACATATTAAAACCCAGAGATTTATAATCTTAATATTTGGTGGCATGGAAGTTAAATATATGTGTAATAAATGAATTTTCTGTAAGATGTAAAAAAAAATACATTAACACACCTCGCTAAAACTTTGGTAGGTATGTTAGTTTTGATTTTAAACAACGAATAAATTAGTGTGCAAATATGCAATTTTGTGAAAATAATGGCAAAAAAAAATCAAAAGATGAGAACTCGTATAATATTCTTTATTTGTTTCAATTCGATATAAAACAGGCATTCAAAGACGGTAAAATTCATTCGATTTATATCGCAGTTTAACTTCAGATAATACTTTAAAGACTAACCACAATGTTCTTAAAGTTCTCTCTTTCGTTTCTGTTTTTTATCCTAGCGGTTAGCTGTATGCATACAGGCCAACCTGAAGGGAAAACTGAAACTGAAGCATCAAGTTCAGCAGTACCTGAAGAAAAAACTGAAATCACACCAGAGGAATTAAAGGTAATTTATACTATTTTTTTTAAAACTTTTAGGTTTTTTTCAATATTTTTCAGAATCATTTATAATATAAAGACAATTTTTTCCAATACAGAAATTCTCTAGGAAACTTTTAAGACTATAAGGATTTTGATAATATTTTACTGAATTATTTATAATCTAAAGTAAAAAGTTTTCCTAAATAGCCATTCTTATCTAGTAAACTATTAACATTTTAGCTTGAAAACTTACAAACAAGTGGGAAATCTGATGATGCACCTGAAGGGAAAACTAAACCTGAAGCATCAGGTCCAGCAGCACCTAAAAGGAAAACTGAAATTACTCCAGAGGAATTAGAGGTAATTAATATTATTTTTTTTAAAGCTATTAGATTTTTCCAATATTTTTCAGAATCCTTTATAATATAATGAAAAAAAATTCCCAAGTAGAAATTTTCTAGGAAACTATTATTATTTTAGGTAAAAGACTTACAAATAAGTGGGAAATCTAATGATGCACCTGAACGGAAAGCTGAACTTGAAGCACCAAGTTCAGCTGTAGCTGAAAAGAAAATTAATGTCACACCGAAGGATTTAGAGGTAATTAATATTTTTTTTTTTAAAGCTATTAGGTTTTTTTCAATTTTTTCAGAATCCTTTATAATAAAATGAAAAAAAATTCCCAAGTAGAAATTCTCTAGGAATCTATTATTATTTTAGGTAAAAGACAAATAAAATTCTAGTCTTAAATACTTGTCATCAAATTAATTTTCTAATATTGTTTGTAAAAAAAGTTTAATATATTTGATTAAAACTAGAGTCGTAACTTAATCATTCGAGTAAAATTCAATAAATATAATAAATGTTTAACCCAAAAAATGTATACACTTTACTACTTTGTAAATTACTAAGTATTACAAGTCCTACCACTCTATGATTTAATACATTAATTATTAGTATCCGCAAATCCGAATATTTATAGTAAATGCAAATTTTTTTTAACTTAAAGTATACGTTTTGTGCTGTATAAATAATGAAATAATTCCAGATTAATTTTTAAATATTTTTTCATTTGATTTTAGAACATATAATGATATAATTTTTTAACAGCTAAAGTATGTTTGAATTATTTTATAGCAATTTTATTTTATATATTTCATCTTAAATAAATAAGTCTTTAATAAATTAATAATATTTTGTATTATTTATTCTAAAATATAATATGTTTGCTATAAAATGTTACACACGTTGTATTGCTTTTCTGTTTACTCTCTAATCATCTTATTTATATCGTTATTATAACATAATACTACAACAGCATTCAATAAAATAATGTTAATAACGCTAATGCTTGGAATACCAGCTACTATAATTTAAATATTTTCTAAATTTATTTTTAAAAAAAAACCTCTATTTTTTTAAAAATCTTATTAAAGCGAATAAATGGATAAAAATTAAAAATTCAAAGAATAGCATTTTTTTAAAAACTTTTGTCTACAAATTTATGGAATTTAAAACATATTTTGCCATTTGAAAAAATGATGTCCTGCTCTATTTTTTGGTATAAGGGTTGGAGATTCAAATTTTCACAGTATTGAAAAATATAGTACAAGGTGTACCTAAAAGTATAGGAAATTATTTTTTTTTAAATGTACATGTTTTCCGAGATAATTAGTGTCTTACCCAAAATGAATCACCCTGTATACATATATATTTTTTTATTGATTCTTAATCATCAGGTATTTATATTGGTAATCGTATTTAAAGTTTATAAATTTAAAATTTTTTAGAATTAAACTTTGTGTTGATTAACAATTTTCAGATTATAAAAGAGGCGTTCCAGGTTATTAGAAAAGAGATATCAAAAGTGTACGACCTAAGATTTATAATTGAAGCAATTGGATATATTGATTATTACGAATACATGGGTGACAACTTTGAAGAGTGGGATTTTATAAATTCATACTATAAGATACAGTACTCTAGCGAATATTGTAAAAAAATTTTTACACACGTTATATGTCGTTTAATAATATTTTTTTTATCTCCGATGCGAAACTGTAAAGTAGTATTTGGTTTTTAAGAAACAATTTTCATTCAAAAATACCATATAATATTCAATATACTATTAAATGTGGCGAGACCCAAAAGTATGCTCAATTAAAGTAAAATTAAAAAAAAAATGACCGCCCCTTCGTCCAGAAACAAATTTAGACAAATAAAAATACACTATTACAAAAACAATATAATTTCAGCTGCACATCGGAGCTAAAATAAATTATGTAATTGACAACTACAACATATAGTGTCATTATGATAACATATATTGTTTATAATTAATAAAATTTAATGTTTTTTCGTTTTAGATTCCATAACACCAGATATATTTCGTGATCTTTTTATTATACATTGTGAAAAATCAGGAATGCCTGTTGCAAAAGTTGCTGAACAAAGAAAAGCCGCAATGGTTGGAAAGGAAGGACGTTTTACGTTAAATGAAAAATTGAGTGATTACATCTACCAAAAAAGAAAACAAAAAAAAGTTCAGGCGGAGATTTCTAAAAAAGTTTCATTCTGAAAAATAAATTAATATGTCTAATAATGTTATAATTTTTTTTTAAATCTCATAAATTGTTATTAAAGAATTGTTTCAAAATATAATATGTCATAACGACTTATAATTATTCCAAAATCTCTGTTTCTTTTCAAATAAACACCTATTACTTACTAATTGTGTAGCATTATTTTTATTTCTAAGACAAAATTTTTAATACGGTCGAATTTGTACGGAACTGCAACAGTTATAGCATTATTAAGTAGAACATCTACATTATGATTAATATAACATCTTATTATATCAAAAAGTATATAAAAAACATATCGTTGTAAATAAAACCTATCTCAAGCTTATCACCATCGTTTGAGTTGCAACATTTCACCCGGAACGACAAACAAGAAAGTGTATTAATAAAAACGTGTTAAAATCGGTAAAGTGTGTAAACGACACTCTGTTAGAAATATTTTTTATTGCGTCTATTCACCATTAATTCACGTAACAGTTGTTTAAAAAAAAATGAGTAAATCCATGCCCCGACCCTCTTGTGCCGGCATTTTACACTCGATATTATTGCAAAAAGAAATAGTCAAACCGAACTACTCCTCGCTGACTTTGTCCTTGATGTTGTTTATGCCTTTATCGGTGAAATAACTTATATAAAAAATTCTACATGAAATACAATAAAAAAAAAAAAAGAGCTAAACTTATCATGTGCGAGAACTTTATTGAGAAACGATTAATATTTTATATTGTTTATACTAGAGCTTCGTTTTTAAGTAATGTCGTTATATGTCATAGTACCTTTTGGCTGTGTCTAGTGATCAGAATTCATACCTAGTTTTGGACAAATATTTTTCAAGCAAAGTACTGATTCTAAACATTGCTTAAAACACGGCCAAAGTGTACAGAATGATAAACGGTGAGATAAAATAACTCTTAAGTTTTTAGATCTGGACAGTTACATAATAATAATAATTATGTTCAGTGCATCAAATACCTATATTATTTGATACTTATCCAGACATATTTTATACATAAAAGATACAATGATATAAATTCATATTAGCTTCGATGCAGAGCGGCGAAGGTATTGGTTTTACACTGATGAGTGTTTTTTTGTTATCTGTGTACACTGTAACTTTTTTAATACTGGACCAATTCCTTCGAGTAGCATTTCTATAAAAAGCAAATTTCATCTAGTTGATATTTTTTTTTTTTGGGGGGGGGGGGGTAATGAATACTTATTTGGTATGCCCGCACACGTCAGTTGTATCAAATTTAAATTAAACCCATTTCGCACCCGCCCTAGAGGAGTTTCAAGTTTTTTTGGTTTTTTTAGTTATTTAGCCGTTATTTTAGAACCTTTTATTATTTTTTTTTTTTTTAAACTACAATCATGGTGTACCAGATGTGAAAAACGAACAGACGGTAATAACTTGCGGTTTGTAACGTCGACCCATGTTAGGATAGGTTAGGTCCCAACTGTCGGTATCATAATATTGTGTTTATTACATGATACAGATTAACTGATTACAGTAGATACACAATTTATTGGGAAAAAAACCGATCCGTCTACTTATTAAGACACATAATCGTTCTGACACGGCATAAGAACCGTCGTTATCTCGATATTTTATCGCCCGCGGGCGACCGTACCGAAGGTCAACCATGAGTATATTATGTTCAACTACCTGCAAATTATAAAGAGGACTGTTGTTTATTGGATCTAGATTAAGTGTTGGTTTTCATGCAGTCTACCGCCCCAAAATGAATTTCATATAACACAATTTTTTTTTTTTCACCACCAAACAAGCCGTAAAAGACAAACCTACATTCATTCCACTTAGAAATGAAGATGGTTCATGGGCCGCAAATGATCAGGAAAAAGCAGAACTTTTCCAAAAGCACTTAACAAATGTTTTTAAGCCCCACGAAACTGTAAAAAATACTGAACTTCTTAATAAAATACAAAACTTCTTATTATCCCCACTCCAATTGACACTACCTCCAAAATCTTTCTCTCCAGCCGAAGTTAAACATTGCATATCTACATTTCCCAATAAAAAATATCCTGGTTTCGACTTGATCACATACGTGGTCACTAAGCATCTCCCCAAAAAAACACTTATTCTTCTCACATATATGTTTAATTATATACTTCACCTCTCATACTTTCCGCTGCAGTGGAGGCTCTCTGTAATAATAAGGGCTACTACGAGGATATTGCTTTTACAATTATGGGTTTTATTTTTTATTTTTGTGTCTGGATCCACGATATCTCGTAAATCGCTGAACCGATTTCTTCATGTAGCAACTCTATAGATCAGAAATCATACCTGGAAGGTACTTTAAGAGGCCAAAAATTAAAAAAAGACACCCTTTCCCCATTAAAATCGAGAAAAACACCCAAAATATGTACAAATTTTTCAACTTAAAATTACGATGCTCTATAACTTTTTTAAAAATAATCGAAAAAGTTCCAAATTTAAATGAATTGTTCTTCAAACATAGCACTATCGATAAACATTAACAAAATAAAAAATATCATAAGCCCTTTCCCCTATAAGGGATAGAATTTTTTTCTTTATTTCACTTTTTCAAGCAAAGTTTTAGAGATTAAGATCTGAAAATTAGACCGAAGGTAGATATTAAATGGAACTATAACATTTACAATTTTCTTAAAAGTCTATAGTCAAATTTTTTTTTAATGAGGAAACACCCCAAAAATAGGGTAAATTTACGCTTTGGCCTTAGTCAGTTTCTAGGCATCTTTTTGTGAGTGATTCAACAGTCCACAGGTAATGAAAATATTTTCATTATATTGTTAATTACGATACACGGGTATCCACCCTGCACAAGACTAAATATTAAATTTACAGTACATTATTGCTGGTTTCACGATATCTTTTAAACTGCTATAACTGGTTTCAACATACTATCCACAGATTCGCATCGATGAGTTTATTTTAAAGTGATTTTATCACTTTCAGTTATAATAAAATCTGTAGACCTGTGACCTCTCCGTCCCTACTATGCCCCGACC